CCCCGTGACGTATTCGATATGTCAAACATAGTAACAACAAAGTCTCCAATGGAGACGTTACTGGGCCCGCTCGAGCAAAATCAACGAACAACGGGAGGGCCTTTACCTTTACCTTTACCACCCTTTCTAATTTTTTCATAGCACTCAAATCTACATTCTGAAGTATTTTTATTGAGGGACTAAAGAGTAGAGTGGGTAGGGCACTTGTCTTGCACAGGACTGACCCAGGTTAAATCCCCGGCACTACATATGGTTCCCTGACCACCGCTAGGAGTGATGCCTGAGCACAGAGCCAGGAGCAAGCCCTTCACACAGCTGGGTGTGACCCTCTCCCAAAAAGTTGCCACCCCCCGCTCACCACCAAAGAGCTCCAAACCCCTTGTGTCTATTGAATCTCCTTCACTGTGGAAATTTTTAAATACTAGCTTCAAGTGGATAACTAGAATGCTATAACTGGAGTAAGTCTGGTTCTGGTGTGTGTTTTGTAGTTGTTGTTTTGCTTTGGGGTCCATCTGGCCATGCTCAGGGGCTACATCTGGCTCTGTGCTCAGGAATCACTCCTGGCAGTGCTTGGGGGACCATATGGCATGCTGGGGATTGAACTTGGGTCGGTTGTGTGCAAGGCCAACGCCTTACCTGCTATACAACTACTCCAGCCCCTGGTTCTGCTGTTTTAGCTTCATAATCACTGTACTATCACTGTTTATTCAGAATCGATGATTTAAACACAACTAAGTTTGTACCCAGAGGCTGCAGACACAAGTGATTCAGATAGCAAGCTCAGACAATTCCAGACTATCAGGAGCTCATTCTCAAAATGGACACGTGTAACTGCATTAGACTTGGTTGGTGTTGGAGGCTGATTGTTATAACTGCGCATTCTCTGAATTAACTTCCACGTTTCACTCAAATGAGAGAAAGAATCTGGAGTTTCGACCTCCGTCGACGATCAAGAATAAGGGACGCTGTCTTGTTTGCCAAGGCGTCAAAAATCAGATGGGTTGGTCACGTAATGAGATTTAGAGACAACCGCAGGACTAGAGCCATTACCGACTGGATTCCAGGGGATGTCAAAAGACCGCGTGGCCGCCCACATACCAGATGGTCAGACTTCTTCATCAAGATCATGAATGATCGGTTTGTGGCTCTTCGTGTTCCTAGAATGAACAGATGCCATTGGGCTACACTAGCACTACACTAGCACACGACAGGGACAAATGGAGACGTTACTGGTGCCCACTCGAGCAAATCGACGATTAACGGGAAGTCAAGTGATCAAGTGATCAACTTCCTTGTCGAGTTAGAATGTTCATCTGAGTATAAGTTATTAGATTGATTTGAATTTAACAAACATATATTTTTGTTTGTTTTGAGCAGTGCTCAGGGCTTATTCCTGGTTCTGCAGTCAGGAATTACTCCTGGTGGGCTCAGAGGACTATATGTGGTGCTGGAGATTAAACCTGGTCAGCAGCATGCAAGGTAAGTGCCTGCCGAGCTAACTGTTTATCGCTCCAGAAATGTAGACCATCAACTTTCTTTCCTGGAAGGAATCTTTTATCATTGACATGGTCTAGAATTGTGAGAACAGGATAATTAAAAGCAGCCTGGTTTTCAATTCGTTTTACTATGGCTTTAAAATTGCAGATAATTAACTTCCTGTTGCCTTGGAACACTTGGGACAGCTTGCAGAGCTGGAACACCAGGAGGCCAGGGGACCCACCCCTGGTTTCCATCCTCACCAATGTATTTCCAATGCTGAACAGATCTCGGGGCAGTGTAAACTTGCAGTAGCTGATCAGTGAAGAAAGAAACTGGTTCTGGTGTGCCCAAGGCTCTCACAAACACCCCCCAAGCAACCTCACCTACCCCAATTATCTAGCAATACAAAGTCAGTCTGCAATCTAGCCTGATCTTCAAAGCCACTTGTCATGAGGAGAGAGAGCCATAACAACAAGGGGCAAGAAGTGTTCAATTTTGGTTGCAAGAGATTTGTTCTGTTTTTCAGGCCACACCAGGTAGTGCTTAGGGTTTACTCCTGGCTCTGTACTCAGGAATTACTCCTGGCAGTGCGTCGGGGAAGCATATGGGATGCTGGGATCAAATCCGAGTCGACCAGTGCAAGGCAAGCACCTTACCTGCTGTACTCCATCCAGGCCCCCCCTTTTTTTTTAAGTAAGAGAATGTTCAGGATAGGCATTTCCTCAGGCCAAGGAAGATAGAGGGTGGGATGGATGAGGAGTTCTGATGGGAAGGCAGGTTACTATCAATGTTCTAGTTCTTTCAGTTATTCCATGTTGGGCTGTGGGTTTCACTGGTTTTATCTTATGTGTAAATAAATACATTGAAACAGAAAATGAGTCAATTGTGGACAATGATAAGACTATTCAAGGGCTGTGGAGAGAGTACAGGGGTTAAGGCCTTGCAGATCACTGACTCTGGTATGAATTCCCTCACTGCCTATGATCCCCTGAGTACCTCCAGGAGAGAGCCAAGGATAAGGGCCCACCCTCAAAAAAAAAAAAATCAAAACACACAAAAAGAGTATGAGATAGTATAAGAGGTTAGGCACAGGTCTTGAATGTGGCAAGATTCCTGGCAACCCATTTAATATCCCAAGCACCACTAGGAGTGACTGTAGAGTGAGCCAGGAGCTGCCTCTGAACTTTCCTGGGTGTGCACGCTACCCCCCCCCCTCTAAAGAGGAGAGAGAAAAGAGGAGTGGGTGGGGCAGGCAATTGCAGAGTGGCCTGCACAGCTGTCTCCAAGTCATGCTAGGCTGAGGCTAGAATGAGATGGGCCAGGATGTGGGCAAGTGGGGAGGGAAGAGAAGGCCCAGGGGTGAGGTCAAGTGGTCTGTATTTGAGAAACATCCAGAATTCTAATAGGAATAGTAAAGGTAGCAGTAATGGTGATCATAGCAGCAGCAGGCCGCAGGGGTAGTACAGCGGGTAGGGGGTTTGCCTTGCACTTGGTAGACCCTGTTTTCATCCCAGCACCCCATATCAGGCCAGGAGTGATGGATCCCTGAACGCAGAGCCAGGAGTAAGCCCTGAGCACTGCTGGGTGTGGCCCAATTACAAAAACAAAAGCAAAATTCAAAAAAGCAGCAGAGGCTAGAAAAAAACCTTTGGGAGTCCCACAGCACTGAAGATGGTGTTACCCATCATTCCTCACTTAAAACTAGCTTTAAAGGGGAAAGTTTAAAAAATAGTAATTTAGAAAATTTAGATTTTAAAAAATTTTCCTCATGCTCACTCTTCCATACATTTTTGAAATGTAAATCCATTCAGACTGACAACCCCCCTCCTTTGTTATGTTAGTATCTCTACATTCTTGGTTCTCTAAATTCCAGATAATTGGTTATTTATAGTGGGCATTTACTAGGTGCCAGGAACGTGTTTGCGTCTATTCCCCCATCTAATTAATGTTCTGGATGCATTTACCTATTAAAACAAGCATATGAAAGAAATTGCATTTTCCTGTCTTTGACTGAGCAAAAGGAGGAACCAGGGATATGAACTCAGGTGTTCTGAGTCCGTGGAAGGAATAAACTGCCCAGGCTTCCGTGGTGAAGCTTTGAATCCGGCGATTTCCAGCTCTCAGTGTCCAGGAAGTCAGCAGAGGCACCATTTCACGGGGAGAAGGCCTGCTCCTTCCGAGAGCCCTGTGCCTTTAAGAGGCGCCCCCTCCCTCCCAGGATGCTCCAATTTTCCTCCAGGGCACCGGGAGCACCAACCCCCCACTCCCCGGGCATCTCCGGAGCCTCTCTTCGGGACCTTTCTCGGTACCCCACCCCCTCAGACTGAGCTCCGGGTCTGGATGTGGGTGCCCTCTGCCACCTACGGACTGGGAACCTCTGCCCCGACCCGTGCCCACTACGCCCCAGCAGAATGCCCTCTAGGGGACACGAATCCTGACCCCTCCCCGCTCCAGCTTTCTAGGGGCGAGGCCTCAGCGCCCCCTCCCACGGCCGAGGCCCGCTGCAGGCGTGAAGGTGACCTCCCTCGGGGGTAACACTTGCCCGGCGGTGCCCGGCGGGCGAACACGTGGTGAGCGGGGAGCGCGCAGCCCCTCCCAGCCACGCGCCTCGAGCATGCGTCCTGGACACGCCCCTCGGGCTGGCCCCGCCCCGTGCCCGCGCACGCTTCTCGTGGACCCTGGAGGGCGAGCGCCCTGGTGCAGCAGCACGCTGGCCGTGTGGGCGGTGGGTCTTGCGAAGGGGGCCCCCACGCACCCTTGAGCGGCGTGCTAGGACTGTGTAAAGCGGGAAGCCCGCCCTGCTTAGGACTCTCGGCCCGCAATCTGGTGTCCCAGACCTCCCGTGTCCACTGCAGGAATCGCCAGCCTTAGGAGTCCAGCCATAGTCTTTCTTGGGTGCCCTTGATCTTTCAAATCTTGAAAAGTGGGCGTCAAAAAAAAAGTCATTCTCTCTCGGGATTTATGTGGCGCTTCCAAAAATATATTTTGCATACATGTGAAAAGCAAAGTCTATGCAAGGTATTCATTGGCTCCAAAGGATTTTGTCGCGCACCCGGAGAGAGGAATCCAGTGTGAACGAGGCAGGCGATGCCTCAGCCCCCTTAAGGTGCTTTCTTAGGTGCTTTCTACGTGCGCGCTGGGGCTGACTACACAAAAAGACACCCTCGGAAGAGGAGGGGGCGGGCCCCCACGTTCTACCTGGTGGCAGGTGTCACCGGCTAAGGTGAAATTTCCAAGGCAGCGAGGGGCAGGGCCCTGCCTCCCGAGCCAGATGGGAAGCACGCGAGGCGCCCCTCCACCTCCTCGCCAAGCCCGAGCCTAAGAAAAGAAACCGACCTCATCCGACACCCCCAATCCCAGCCGCGAGCCCGCCCAGCCCCGCAGCCCGAGTCCCGCCCCGCTCGGGCAGCCGGCGATTGGGAGATGCAAATAGCCGCTCCTCTGCCCAGCAACGGGTGACGCGGCGCCCGGGCGCGAGGCGTGGCCGGGCCGCAGCCCAAGCGGGCACCTCGGTGTTTACACGGGGCGGCCCCGCGCGCGCCGCAGCGGCCCGCAGACGGCGAGGGGGAGGGGCGGCGCGCGCGCCGGCGGGGCCGCGCGGGGAGAAAGACACTGGCAGGCGGCGGGGCGGGGAGCGGCGCGCGCCGGCCGCGGCGGAGCAGGAGGCGGCCCAGCGCCCGCGGGGGCTCGGGGGCCGCGATTCCGCCAGCCCCCGAAAACAATGTGCGGCGTGCAGCGGGGCGCAACTTGCCGGAGGCGGCGGGGCCGCGCTGAGCCCGCCTGAGCCCGCGCCGTTGACCTTCTCCCCCCGCCCGCCGCCCGTCGGGCCCGGGCGCCCAGCGCCTCTCGCTCCCCAGCTCGCGGGGGCCGGGCCGAGCCGAGCTGCGGGGCGGGGCCGCCCCTCCGTCGCTGCTGCCTCCTCCCCCACCCCCAGCCGCGGCGGAGGATGCGGACGGCCCCCGGCGGCGTCTAGCGGCCCCGGGCCCAGGCGCGATGGTGCAGCAGCGGGGCGCGAGGGCCAAGCGGGACGGCGTGCCGCCGCCCCCGGGGCCGGGGCAGGGGCCGGCCGAGAATGGGGCGCGCGAGCCCGGCTGGTGCAAGACCCCGAGCGGCCACATCAAGCGGCCGATGAACGCGTTCATGGTGTGGTCGCAGCACGAGCGGCGGAAGATCATGGACCAGTGGCCCGACATGCACAACGCCGAGATCTCCAAGCGCCTGGGCCGCCGCTGGCAGCTGCTGCAGGACTCGGAGAAGATCCCGTTCGTGCGGGAGGCGGAGCGGCTGCGCCTCAAGCACATGGCGGACTACCCGGACTACAAGTACCGGCCGCGCAAAAAGAGCAAGGGGGCGCCCGCCAAGGCGCGGCCCCGCCCCCCCGGCGGCGGCGGCGGCGGTGGCGGCAGCCGGCTGAAGCCCGGGCCGCAGCTGCCCGGCCGAGGGGGCCGCCGGGCCGCGGGCGGTCCCCTGGGGGGCGGCGCGGCGGCGCCCGAGGACGACGACGAGGACGACGACGAGGAGCTGCTGGAAGTGCGCCTGGTGGAGACCCCCGGGCGCGAGCTGTGGAGGATGGTGCCGGCGGGGCGGGCCGCCCGGGGGCCGGCCGAGCGCGCCCAGGGGCCGTCGGGCGAGGGGGCGGCGGTCGCCGCCGCTTCCCCGGCCCCGTCGGAGGACGAGGAGCCCGAGGAGGAGGAGGAGGAGGCGGCGGCCGCGGAGGAAGGCGACGAGGAGACGGCGGCGTCGGGGGAGGAGCCGCTGGGCTTTCTGTCCAGACTGCCCCCCGGCCCCGCCGGCCTGGACTGCGGCGCCCTGGACCGCGACCCGGACCTGCCGCCCGCCTCGGGCACGTCGCACTTCGAGTTCCCGGACTACTGCACCCCCGAGGTCACCGAGATGATTGCAGGGGACTGGCGCCCGTCTAGCATCGCCGACCTGGTTTTCACCTACTGAGCCCACCGTCAGCGGGGCGCGCACGCCCCCAAACCAGCTGTTTACATACAGGAATCAGGTATTGGGGCCCCCTCGGAGGCCGAGGCTGGCACCCCATCTCCGCGCAGCCTCCCCCCTCCCGGACGTGCCCACCCCCCTCGAATCCAGACGTGCCCCTCCCCCGCAGACACACCCCAAGGCAGCCCCACCCCCACCCCGTCCCGTCCGAGCCCCTCCCCTCCGGTCCCCTCCCGCACAGCCACCAGCAGCCAGCCCCCCCCCCCCCCCGTCCGTGACACCTCCCGTCCACCCCGACACCCCGCGCCCCTCCCCCCGCCGCGCACACGCCCCTCCTCGTGGCCGGAGGACACGCCCCTGTCCGTGCCCGCTCCGGATCCCCGCCGCCCCGCGCCGAGCCGAGCCCGCCTCCTGGTTTCGGGGGGCCGCTGCGGCCGGCCCCCTCCCCTCCCTCCCCTCCTCTCCCCTCCCGGGGTGCAGGAGGCGGCGGGGGGTGGGGGGAACCGCTCCCGCTGCTCGGGGGAGCTGGGGCCCGCCCTCCTCGCGCGCATGCTTGGCGCTCCCCGGGAGGAGGGGGCTGGTCCCAGTGGAAGCGCACGCCCCTGTGGCCGGCTCGGGAAGAAGGGGGGAGGGTCTGAGCGCGATCCCGAGAAATCCCGGGATCCGGAGCCGCAGCTTCCTTTCAGCCTCTGGGGCGTCACTGCCTTAATGGGAGGAGCACGGGAAGGGGAGCGAGACTCGATGGGCCCTTGGGGGCTTGGAACTCTCCCAAGTGGAAGAGCCCCTTTCCCTCACGCTGTCGCCCGCACCCACGTGCACCGCCCCCCCAGCCCCCCACCGCGACCGATTGCCTCTAGAACCTCTGCAGAGCGTCCCTCCCTTTGCCCCACCTGGGGGGGCGTCGGGGGTGGGAGGGGGTCTCTCTCCTGTCCGCCACGTGAGGACTGTGCGCCCCAAGGAAACTTAGACCCGGGACACCTCCCCGTCTGTTTACGGACCGGGGTCCCCGCTGCACCCTCCGCCCGACCAAGTGCCCGACGACGCCTTGGCACCTTCCCAGCGTGGGCCCCTCCCCGGGCCCTTTGCCCCTCCTTGTCCCCCAAGCCTGTGGGAGAGCTTGGAAGCACGTTGGCATGGAGGACTGGGACTCCGTCGCGGATGGAGTGGCGGGCACAAGCCCCACTTAGAGCAGCCGGAGTGAGCAGGAGCGGCCACGGGGCCCGAGAGCGCCACGGGAGAGATGAGAAGGCGGGGTGGGCCGTGACCGTGCGCACCCGGAAGGCTTGTCTGTCTGTCGTGAGAAACAGAAGGAGCGTTGCTGTTGGAGGAAGTCCCGTCCTGTTCCAACGTGCCCTGGGGGACCCCCATCCCAGATGCTGTTACCCCCTCCTCCCCCCACCTCCCCACCCCTCCGGCCTCCCACACCCTCCTTTGCCCTCTACCTGTATCTCACCGGCGTGTGTTCATCCTCGCGGGTGCACACACACTCTCATTCACACACACACAAATCTCAGGAACATCCGGTCCCAGAGTCCTCCGGGACCCCTCCCCAGGGTCTCCGCAGGCCTCTGCCCCACGCGTTCCCCGTCGCTGACAAAGCCACCAGCTGCCTCCTCTAAGCTTGGTGCTCCGGCTCTGGGCCTTTCTTGCGCTCTTTCTCTCTCTTTCTCTCTTTCTCTTCTTTTTTTTTCTTTTTTTAAAGAAAAACAACTACAACAACAACAAAAAAAAGAGACAATGGAAAAAAAAAAACAGAAAACGTCCATGTGCGTGAAGCGGTGTCACTGTCTGTGGTCTTGGAGAACTAGTCTCGTAGCTAAGGGAGGGGACCCTCCAGTCTGGGGCACTGGCACCCACAGCAGGACTCCCGCCCGTCTGATGCCAGGATTGAATAAAGTGTATTTGCCCCGACCTTGCCCTGTGGTCCTACAGTCTGTGCCTCTCCTCCACCCTCCTAAAACAAGTTGCCAGATTCAAATCCGTGTGACTTAACACCACGCAGGAAGAGTTAGGGGTTCCCAACGTAAAGACCCCCACCCCCATCCCCAGGGCCCTCAAGCCCCCTGACTCAGGACTCCCTGGTCTTTGTTACGATGACAAACTGGGCCCGAGCCAGGCAGGCAGTGAATGTCTGGGTGGACGCCGACGAGTTTCTGATCTGCTATAGCGGGGTAACCCTACACCTCCCGGTATTGCCCCTACAGGAATGCTGTCCAGGGGTGCAAGCCGGCTAGACTGTTGCAGAGAAGGGGGGTAAGCTAGAGGTTATCCAGATGCTGCTCATCCGGTTTCAGAATGACCACCTCAAACATTTTCAAGTCTTGAGGCAGTAAAGTGTGTACCTCCCCCCCCCACCCCCCAAAGTTGCTACTTTGCCCTTAGGTTTCAAGAAGCAGGTTCGGTCATAGGCAGAGCCCAGCCCGGCACCCCTGACCTGTGTAGTCTTCAGCAAAACGACCCTAGTTCTTTGCATCTGTGCGACATGGGGCCAATAATAGTACCTGCTTCACGGGCTGAAATGAAGCTTAAGGTAAGAAGGACGTTCCAGGAGACAGGAGGTTTATAGCTCGGTGGTAAAATACATTCCTGACATATATGATACTTGGGTTAGAAGCTTAAGGGGCTGGCTGCGTGCCTGCCATGCAGCGGCCCTGGGTTCGACCCCCCAGCACCACGTGACCTCCAAAGCACAGGGGTGGGGCACTGTCGCCTTCTACCACTACGGGGGAGGGCAGAAACAACGTGGTAGATTGTAATATTTTTATTGCCCAGAGGAGGGAACAGGTACCAGGGGGCAGCAGCTTACCAGAGGGCCCTCTAGTAGCCAAGGGTGAGGGCACAGCCTGGGACTTGCTTGGCTCTGTGTCCTGGTGAAGTCCTTCAGTGCTGCCTCCCTGGTGCAGGGCTGCCGGGGCTCCGGGCTGTGCAGGCAGGACTTGGGCCCAGTACCTGGTGTGTGGGTGACCTGCAGGGTCCAGACGCTGAATGATCAAAGAGCAATAGAAGCCACCCAGGTTCTTGTCTTTGAAATTTTTCCCAGTGTGTTTTGGAAACAGACAAGGGCTTTTCAGAAGACTTGTCTCCCTGGTACTTGGCCCCTTAGATCTTCCTGTACTTAGGTCTGTTTCTAAGCAACGCAGACAAAAAAAAAAAAAAAAAAGAATTCTCCCCTCAAAGAACAAAGACCAAGGGACGGGAGCCATAGGACAATGGGTAATGCGCTTGCCTTGCATGCGGCTGACCCAGGTTCAATCCCCAGCATCCTATATATTATCCTCCCTGTGCCCTGCTAGGATAATTCCTGAGTGCAGAGCCAGGAGTAACCCCTGAGCCTTGCCGGGTGTGGCCCTGAAAGAAACAAAAAAAAAAAAAGGCCAAGATCTTATTCAGAGAGAATATTTGGAGACCGCACAGCAAAGAGACCATCAAAGAGGGGTGTGACTCAGCAGGAGACCTCTCCATGTTTGAGGCCCCAGGTTCAAGACCCAGCCAAGCACCCAGAGAAAGTGGGATGGGACGGGATGGGGGTGGGCTTCTCTCAGCCTGTGAGAGAAGACACAGGGCTGCGGGAAGGAGCTTCTAGGAAAGAGCTGAGAAGGTGTGGCATACACAATGGGCCTCGCAGGGCCCCCTTCAAGGAGGGACTCCACAGAGGGCCGGAGGAAGCGTGGGCAGTGGCCAACTGCCAGCAGTCCAGCCCCAAGCACAGCCCGCATCCGGACCTGAGAGTCGGGTAAAACTGGCGACTTCAGTTGGCCTGTGGGACAGATGCTGACAGGTAGAACTCACATGACACCCCCTCCTGTGCTCACTGGGGTGACCCTCCTCTCCCCAGAGTGGCCAAAGCTGTGTGGGGCCTGCCACCTGGCACCCTCTACCCACCCCTACTTCCTCCTATTTCTCTTCACAGGTGTTCCTTCCAATAAATGCATTTAACCCCAGATTCAGTCTCTGTGTCGGCTTCTGGAGGAGCCCGGTCTGCAAGGGAGGGTGCCAGGGGGCTGGACAAAGGGAAGTGGGTCATCGGCCTGGCAACTGCAGCCAAGCGCCTTGGGTGCCTGGATCTTCGCCACCAGCAAGGTCAGCCCGACCCTGAGCAGCTCTCCTCCCTGCGGGCAGCGCTGGGAACTCCCCGCTCGCTCCAGCACCCCCGCACCCCATCCCCACAACACACAGAGAACTGGGAGGGGGTGGAGGGGGGCGTGGATCTAGATCTGCCCTTTACAGTGGCCTGGTCTGGTCGGGAGTGGGGAGTTCTGTGCCAGAGCGCTGTGGTCCACCGCGCCACGTGTTCCCTTAGCCGGCCTCGATATCCCGACGTGAGGAGCGAGGAGAAAGGGCGTGGGCTGGAGAAGAAACCATTTGCTATTTGGGTTGCTTCCTTCCATTTTGGAAGGGAATGGATTCTGACCTGGGCAAGGTGGGGGAGAGACGCGCGTGCCCTGGGCTCTGGGGACACCTAGTGGCCGAAAGGAAAAGAGGCTGTTGGGGGCAGTGGGCTGGGTGTGTCCAGCCGTGATCTCTTCCCCCACCACCAATACCCCCCCCCCCCCCCCGGCCTGGGCTCTGGGTCCAAGGCTTCGAAAGCACAGATCGGCTGATGGACCCGGCTGGTGTGTCTGTGACCTAACACGGGGCCTGACAAACGGCCGTCCATTTGGCAGCTTGAAGCAACATCATGGTTCTAAGGACACTGTGGCTTGGGCCGGGGAGGGGGGAGGGGGCACTTGGACACGCCCCTCCCTGCCCTCTGCACTCGGGCTCTCACAAGCCCCCTCTCTCCCCACCCCCCACCACTCCCCCGCCTTGAGGCGCTGGCCAGGCTGATTTCCTTTCTAGAAGTCAGCATCTTCCAAATCTGTGTGGTGGTGGGTGGACTTCAGCCAAAGGACTCGAGTCTGCTTTCTAGCTGTGCCCTGGTGCTGCCTGCATCCGAGAAGTGCCGTTTCGTGTCTTTGCAGGCGGGGTGTGGTCAACAAAGAATCCTTTAGCCTCTTCCTTGGCGGGAGGAAGACTCTTTTATTTCCTTTTTTATATTTAAAAACATTTTTTAAAATTTTTTCTTTTATTGTTATTATTTTTTTTGGGGGGGAGGTCAACCTGGCAATGCACAAGGGCTACTCCTGGCTCTGCACTCAGGAATTACTCCTGGCGGTGCTCAGGGGACCATATGGGATACTGGGAATTGAATCCGGCTCAGCCGCGTGCAAAGCAAACGCCCTACC